TCTGTCGCTGTCTACTATTTCGTCTTTCACTGGTTAAATTACTTCCAAACGTCGACCGACTCTTGATAAGTTCCGAAACATTTTACTTAAATAGTTTCGAAATATTTTAATTATGTGTCGATTAGCACATGACAAACTAAATTTAAAATTTTAAACGTTTCTCTAATTGCCCAGGTTGTTGATGTCTGCACTCGTATTCGATGGGCCTCAAAAATGGTTCAAGTGATCGACGGAACAGCAGAACATGAAGCTGTCGTCGAAGAGGATTTGCTGCATGAATTTGCTCATAGTTCCAGCGTTACAGAATCCAGCAAATTCTGCAAGCCCAACATTGGAACTGTTCGTCAGTTGGTCGAAGATCAGCTTCGGTATGTCAGTCATCTTATTTTAGAAAATGAAAATTGTCATTTGAAGAATAAAAAATTGTCTTCAAATGAAATAAGCGACCATAGTCGCTTCGAGGAAGTAACTCCACACCTTATAGTTGATCACCCTCGACCACCCAAACAACTTTCCCGCAAGATCGGAACTTTATACGAAAGCCAAACTTTGCAAGACCATGATCTTTATCACGAAACTTCAAAATCAACACAGACTTTCCACGATGAAGATGGGCAGGATTCCGAAGGACTGCGAGATGGAATGGATTCGAGAAATCAACAAATAAAAATTTCACATTATGAGGCTCTTACGGAAGCCGATTTTGGTGAGTAATTCCATCGGCCAGACTATGCCTTGGTCGAAGGATGTAGCATTAAATAGACGAATGACCTTATTTGTGTAATGATTGTAATAAATAATAAAAATGATTTCAAATTTTCCCTGTTGGATGTGCCCTATACTCGAGCGAGTTAAAACTTAACCGCTATGAATGTTTCTTACCATACGGTTTTTAATGGTTATACATTTCCGAATTCGTTGTTTTTTTAAGTTTCGTGGGTTGCATTACGAACGCTATAAAATGTTATGAAAGTTATTGGTTTACATATTGTTGGCTCTGACATTAAATACTCGGGATCAAATAGGTTTTGGAATCAAGTAAGGAAGATCACGTTGTTCCTTGTATATTATTAATACTTTCTGTTATATTTTCCCAGCAAAGCAGTTGATGCTGGAAACTCGAAGACTTCGGCACATCTTCTTCATGCTTTGCGACTTGCGAGACAGCACTTCTGAGCTTCAAAAGTCTTCTCCCAGAACTAGGTATTTTGGTCTTTTCAAGATGGCGCTTTTACTGTTAGTCGTGATCGAAAAGAAACGAAATTTAGTTTACTGTCGTATTGGCAAACTTTGACACTCTCAGGGTTAGGCATTCATACTAATATTTTCATTAATTTCAGTTATTCAATGTTGACCTTCAATCGGGACATACATTTGCGAATATATTAGTAACTATATTATACGCAAATTGGTCATTTCAACATATAAACAAAGAAAAATACTTGTGATTATCACTTGTGATCAGTGCTATGTTTGGTACGATGAAACAGCTTGAGCTGGCCGTGGCTACGTCACGGTCACCACAGCGTGCTAGGCAGCGGCCGTACCAGGAACGTCTTCTGGACCGTAGCTGGGATGTCATTCCAGTACGGATTGGAGTTCTTCGGAATTCCAAAGTGGATTTGCCGGAGCCCATCATCTGACCGAGCGATGTTCAATCTTCTGGCCGCGGCGCACTATAACCGCTGTGAGTTTATCTACTTTTGGACTTACATGTTAACTTTTGCTGAATACTATCAAATTATCAATACTAAGTGCGGTTAAAGCTCGATATACGTGAGCTGTGAGACTCTACTTTGATTTCGCTACACTGCCAACATTATACCTAAATTTTCGTGATAAAATTTCAATAATGACTAACCTTTGATATCTAAACGGTCGTTTATATAAAAAGACGAAAATAATCTTTGTCTTAAGCTACATTTAGCTTTAAAAAATGAATCAGAACTATATGCCGGACTTCCTCTAGTTACATACTGTTTTAACTTGTCTGCTCCTCAAATAAAATGAACTTTTCACGCAAAATTCGGTTTTATTAAAGAAAGCTTCAAATTTGTGGCTCTATATACACTCACATGTTATAATATGACGCGCTTCAGACGTGGGGAATACTTTCCAAAATTCAGGCTTTTTCTACGGATAACGTAACAAAGATTACAAGATTATAACAAGCCATTATTTTGGCATGCAAATGTGCTGAACTTATGCATTAGATTGAGGAGAAACTGAGACTTTGATGAAGGATTTGCCTGCTCATGGCAAGGTGGGGTCACGATAGGCGGCGTGGGATGCGGTAAGGCGGCGTCTGTGATGGCGGTTGCCCAGCGCTGCGGCCGACACGTCGTCGAGGTTGCAGGACAAGAGGCGGGGCAGGTCAGATTATTTTCTAATGATGCAGTGTTACGAACAATCTATGAANTTCAAATTTGTGGCTCTATATACACTCACATGTTATAATATGACGCGCTTCAGACGTGGGGAATACTTTCCAAAATTCAGGCTTTTTCTACGGATAACGTAACAAAGATTACAAGATTATAACAAGCCATTATTTTGGCATGCAAATGTGCTGAACTTATGCATTAGATTGAGGAGAAACTGAGACTTTGATGAAGGATTTGCCTGCTCATGGCAAGGTGGGGTCACGATAGGCGGCGTGGGATGCGGTAAGGCGGCGTCTGTGATGGCGGTTGCCCAGCGCTGCGGCCGACACGTCGTCGAGGTTGCAGGACAAGAGGCGGGGCAGGTCAGATTATGTTCTAATTATGCAGTGTTGCGAACAATTAATGAAGGTTTTTAGCTGCCGCTTGTTTGTTTTTCTAGCAAAGACATCACTTTTTGAGCAGTAATAGGGCGTTTAGAGCCACATAGAGTGATCAATTGGGCGCCAATCTCTCTTCTGGAACAAGAATCTAGTTGTCGCGAGAAAATAAACAGTTCTGTAGGTAGATTTTATTTTTATTTTGGTACGAAGATGGAAGAATTAATTCATTAATCTGGCTTTATGAGTCACTTTAAAAGATTCAAGATTCAAAACTAATATAATACAATATAGTGTGATATAATATATATAATATAATATGATATAATATAATATAATATAATGTAACATTTCTCGGTGTCAATCAGGCGTCTCAATCCATTCATTATAATTATATTCTAAGATTAGATCATCTGTAATTGAGACGAAATATTCACTAGACCAGGAAAAATACTAGATTTGAGTCAGCATGGAGAACATCACGTGACAGATCACGCGATCGAACCCACAGTAGTGGGCGGAAGCCGTGATTCTATAAAAGGCCTGAGAACATTAGTAATGCCTTCAGTAAATGACAAGTACGCCGCGCTGTAACTCGCGCTAGAGCTACTCCGACTTTACGGTCGACGTCTTAGTCTTATACCATTAAAACTCACAAATATTACCATTCTGTATCAAAATAAGTACTCTAGAGGACAGATTGTGTCTAGCTTATCTCTCACGATCTTAGTCAATAAATACCTGTCCTCAGGTTCAGGTAGGAATACCTAGAAAGTCTGGAGGCGCATAAACGTGCCTCCGGGTATATCGTAAGTTTTAAGCCATGTTGGTTTGTAGCCTATTCTTAACCACCCGGCCAACTTGCCGATTTCAACAGAATTTTCACAACCAGTAGCAAGTCTCATGTCGCCCCCAACTCGCTGCCTCATCTTGATTATGAGCACTCGGCCATCAAAATATGACATAATACTACTACAAACTTTAGCTCTCAGATGTTTCTTCATATATTAAAATAGACTTTGAGCTTACTTTCAGTGAAGAAAAAACCTTGATGATCGCTACTGAAGAAGACATATTAATTTAAAGCTTGATTGCGAAAGGAACAATTTCTTTGAATTATTTTAACCTATTAGCTTCACAATCAGTCCTGAAGAGGAAATTTCACTCTCATGACATTTACTGATCAATATTACATGATAATAATGTTACATCCATGTACTGACGACAGAGTTTGGGGCGCGTGGTGAGAGGCTGCGCTGCAGGCGGTCTCTGGCTGCTGCTCAGAGACGCGGACGCTCTGCACGCGGACGACGTACATGATTGTTCGGCGTCAATCAGGCATCTCATTCCATTCATTATAATTATACTCTAAGATTAGATCATCTGTAATTGAGATGAAATATTCACTAGACGTGGAAAAGTACTACATCTGTCAGCATGGACAACATCGCGTGACAGATCACGCGATCAAGACCTCGGTAGTGGGCGGAAGCCATGATTCTATAAAAGGCCTGGGAACCTTAGTAATGCCCCCAGGAGCTGACAAGTGCGCCACTATGTAACGCGTTAGAGCTACTCAGACCTTACGGTCGACGTCTTAGCCTTATACCACTAAAACTCACAAATATTACCGCCCCGTATCAAAATAAGTACTCTTGACAGATGGTGTCTAACTTATCCCTCGCGAACTTGGTCAACAAATACCTGTCCAGAGGTTCAGGTAGAAATACGTAGAAAGTCCGGAGGCGCATAAACGTGTCCCCGGACATATGGTAAGTTTTAAGCCATGTTGGCTTGTAGCCTATTCTTAACCAAGCGGCCAACTTATCGATTTCAACAGAATTTTCACAACCTGTGGAGGGTCTTAGGCCCACAACTCGCTGCCCCATCATGATTATCCCATCAAAATATGACATCATACTTCTACAAACTTTAGCTCTGAGATGTTTCTTAATATTTATGAATAGACGTTATATAGAACTTTCAGTGAGCAAACCTTGATTATCGTTACTGAAGAAAGAAAATTAAAAATTAATTAATTAAATTAAATTAATTAATTAACTGAAGAAATCAATTTAAAGCTTGATTACCGAAGGAATATTTTCTGTAAATCATTTTAAGCTATTTAGCTTCAAAATCATTCCTGAAGAAGAAATGTTAAGCTCATGACATTAACTAATCAATATTTAATGGTAATAACGTTATATCCATGTATTGACAACAGAGTTTGGGGCGCGTGGTGAGAGGCTGCGCTGCAGGCGGTCTCTGGCTGCTGCTCAGAGACGCGGACGCTCTGCACGCGGACGACGCACATGAAGTGACGCTGGCCTGCCGGGAGGTGGCGCGGGCCAGAGAGAGCGGCTTCAAGAGGTCTCTTGATGATCAATATTTCATTAGTAATTTTACAATAGTCCTTTAATAATTTTACAATAGTTTATTAGTAATTTTACAATATTCCATTAGTAATTTTACAATATTACAGTAGTAATTTTCCAATATTTCAATAGTAATTTTACAATATTTCATTAGTAATTTTACAATATTTCAATATCCAGTTTCTGAATATCAGATCAAATTTAATTAGCATAAAGAACGAACATAACGAAAATTAAATTTCAAAAGTTTTAATTTTAAGTCTTTGCAAAGAATTTTTCGATAACTTCAAACAGGCAAATGGTGAGTCCGGGTAAGTAAGTTAAAAAGTAACGCAATATCGAACATTTATTCTCATTGAAAGTCCAACTTTCGAGCAATATTTTGCACAGTAATAAAACGCAATGTTGTTCAAATAGATTGATATCACTTGTGTGCAAATGTTTTTAATGTTTCAATCGTCAAAGCGTATTTCCTCCTTCCATTTACGATTCACATGTCACTAAAGATCCAAGAAAGATCGCGATTTTTGTGAAATTATTAATTTCTCATCTATTGTTTGTTTCATGAGGCATAAATTTTTCTTGCACAGTAATATCTAACTTACCCATCAATGCATATATTTATTTTGTTCCACGTTTTCATGCCTCTGGCTCCAGCTGTACCATAAACCACACTGAAGTGACTCTCCACGACGACTTTGCTTTATTCATGACGCTAGCGAACTCTCGAGGTCCCTGCGCAGCACCCAGTGATGGAGGAGCCTTCGCGCCTGCCACTCTTTTTATAAGACGTGCCACCACCAAAACAGTGGACTTTGGTGCCATCATTGCACCGATTTTACGGACTGTTCCTGTTGTTTTGCCATCCGCCGGTGCGATGTTACTAAAACATAATGCATGTGGTACTCACCTAGTCTGTAATTGTTATCTCTACAATTATCTCTGGAAAAAAATTCATTCACCACTGATGTCAAATAACTCTGGGAAAAGTAGCACATCTGTTTTGAGCTGTATTTTATGGTGCACCGTCTACTAAAGGACGTTTACACCGAATTTTGGATGCAGTATAAAGGACTTCTGCACCAATGTAGAGGTGCAGCATCTGGGAAATTTGTGCGAATGGAGATGCAGTATTTAGGAAATTTACACGTATGTAGCCTTGCAGTATTTAGGAAATTTACGCGGATTTAAAGGTGCAGTATTTAGGAAATTTACATGTATGTAGCCTTGCAATATCTAGGAAATTTACACGGATGTAGCCTTGCAGTATCTATGAAATTTACACGGATGTAACCTTGCAGTATCTAGGAAATTTACACGGATGTAGCCTTGCAGTATCTATGAAATTTACACGGATGTAGCATTGCAGTATCTAGGAAATTTACACGGATGTAGCGGTGCAGTATCTAGGAAATTTTCACGGATGTAGAAGTTGCAGCATTTAGGAAAATAGAGGTGAGGTACTCGTATATAGGACAATCCCATGAATATGGAGGTGCTGTAGGTAGGAAGTTTCCACGCAAGTATGGGTGCAGTATCTAGGACTTTTTGGTTGATGCAATGTCTTGAAAGTTCCAGTGGATCTGGAAGTGCAGAACCTATGACGTTTTATGGATGTATAGATGAATTATCCGGAACGTTTCCATGGAATATAAGGTGAAGTAGTTGGGACGATTTCATGGATGCAGCGTTTCCGTATCTAGAACATATTTTTCCTCAGTGTTATTTATTGAAAAAAATAAATATCCGAACACTCCTATAAAATGCATAAATTTTTAAAAAATTATGTTTGAAGACAATAGTTATCCTGAATGATTATAATATAAATGAAGTCGTTTTTAATGACAGAAGTTGTCTTTCAAATAATAAATACCATCACCACAGTTGAGTTGTGTCTGTACAAACACAGAAGTGCTACTGAGCATCGTGCTGGAGAGCAGAGGCTTTCACGTCTCCGCACCGATGTTGGCCCGCGTCACGAAGATCATCTCTCATGTGCATCACGAGTCTTCCTCCTACAGCCTGCCCAGGTGAGGTTAAGTCATTGACGAAGATTTTTTAGTACAAAGGACTAAAATCATAACTGTGGTCTTTGATATAGATGTAATCATCGATATCGATTTTGATTAAAGTCTGTGCGAATTTTTTATCTTGCTGGTATTTTTATTTGCCTCCTGATACTATATTTCTTGAAATCGTAATTTCCAACAAATAATTTTACGATTCTTATAGGCTAATAGGCTGTATTGGAGAGATCGCAACTGCTGAACGTCTCCAAAGACAGCTGCGATCAAACGTGAGTATTCATGAGTAAAATAAAATACTTCTGATTTTCACTTTTTCTTCGATTGAAAGTGTTCTTTTGTTTTATGTTGAGGAGGACTTCTCTTGTGAGTTAGTTTTCGGTCCTCCTGTCGTTATTGACTTTTTATTATTTTATCATTTATGGAAAAAATGCACTATTGTGCTCGCTATGTCCGTTTGTCCGTGCGTCTGTCTGTCTGTCCGTCCGTGACTTCACGTTTTCGTCGACGAGAAAATGCGCTCTTTGTCACTCACTGCAGTGAGTACTGAGTTATATATTTTTTTAAATTTTGCTTTGCAGGGCACACTGAATGTAGACGAGATCGTGATGAAAGCAGCTGAAACTATTCAATTACAGTGGAGTTGTGCATCGCGTGCATCTCAGCTGCAGGATCAACAAGACTTTCATCCAACGACATCTCCGCCGGCCTCAAATTCAGCGCATTTGGAAGTTCCAAGCATCAGTGTTACTGATTATTATTTATTCACTGATGAGAAAGCGAACCCTGAAGCAATTAATACCATTGGTGATTCAAACAGGCATTATATCGCCCAAGAGGAGGCAGGTGGAATGTCGTTGAACTTCAATGTTATTTACGACGAATTTTCCGAAGCGGATCTTAGAGAACAAGTCGAGAAGCGAGTTGGAGCAACTGTTCTGAAGCTAGAACTTGGTGTGGGTAAGGAATTCATTCATGTAAGGCATTTTGTACATATTTTAGTGGTGTATTAATATAAAAAATTTTAATTAAGGATTTGCCCTCTCATACAGGAACAAATGCGTGATTACTAAACATATTCCATCAAATATTTTGTCGAGATATGCACATGATTCGCTACATGTTTTTCTACCGAGCAAGTATCTAAACAGGATTGGGTTTTTCGGACAGAAATATAAGATTTTAATGACACTACCGCACATAATTTTAAATGATATCTCTAATTAATGATCAGGAGGCCTGATCGACAAAGCCCTCTCCCTATACTCGCTGCTGAAGCTCCACGACCGCTGCGCCATCGTCCACCGCCACGCCGCTTCGGTGGCTCGGGTACGACAGCTTCTCAACCTCTTCTAGCCATACTAGTTTGTTGTACCAAATTTATCTGTTTTTAATACGTTTGTGTTCAAAATTTTATCGATTATATATTACTACATAATTTAAAAGGACTTTCCGTACCAGATATCACTCTCTTCATTATCCTCAGAGATCAATCAACTTTGCGTAAATTATTTACCCTTCAGTTGGTTGAGTTCATTATTGGGGATTACCTCAAATTTTTGCTTCTGTGTAGCTCAAACGAATCGTTGTTTTCTCCCCAAACCTTGGCGATAATTATTTCGTATATTCCTTGGGAAGTTATAGTGTATCATAGTTTGCTTATAAACTATGCACATCTTATTTTTTGCATTGAGGTACCACAGAAGCTTGTTATGTGTATTGAAGTTCCCTGTAGCGTCGCTACTTGCAGCTGTTGTTTGACGCCGTTGAAGCTTTAGCAAGTCGGCCGCCCAACTCGATGGATCGCAAGATCTTTGTCTACGTCGAAATTTATTGGTCATCCCATGAAAATATAATGCAGCTACGACGCCGAGTGGAACGAGAAGTGAGTAAGAGTTCCTGTGATGTACTTTTCCAAACTATTATTATGTTACAATTCATCACAAAATTATTTATTTATGTAACAAAATATCCAACGAATATTCGTACATTTTCAATAAAAGAAAGGTTCAAATATTTCATCAAGCCTATATAGAACTGGGATATCGTATATATTGATATCATCAATTGTATCATGCACTAGAAGCATTATTTACATTTGTAAACTTGTTCCAAACTTAATTGATTTTGTTTCGCCAGTTGAGGCTTCGTAATCAGCGTTGCAGAACCGAAGGACAAATTTGGCTTACGTTGAAAGGTCCGTTCGGCTCATGTCGAGAAGTACGTTCAATATTACGTGCTGTAGCTGAAGCACACAATGCTGCTCGCACTTGTCTGACAATCAAGCTTATCTTGGAAGCCGTTCCTGCGGATAATCTCTGCTGGCACTTGTACAACAGGTGACACTTTCTTATGGCAAACTTAATTGTAGTACTTAAGTGTATGTGCTATAGTTTCATAATTACTACCGTTGGCTTTGTGATATTTGATTCATTGAATAAGAATTTATTTGTTACCAACACAATGTCACGACTAAAGTAATACGGCTTGAGCGAAATTCTACTTGAAATCTTGTTTGACGGCAGAAATCGAGGGAACGCCAGGGCCCTAAGCTCAACACTCGGGGCCGTAAAAAGGGAATTTTTGTTTTATTTTATTTCTAATTTGTTTGAATTTCCTTCAATGCTGTACGTTACCGAGTTAAAAGGCCTTGAAAAAGCAAAAAATCGCAGTTAAGAATAATCCCCTACGAAAAATCTGTATTGGACGCAGTGGTGGACTTCAATTTAGTATAAATATATACATTTATTAATAAAGTATAAACTTAAATTTAGATTCAGAAAAGTATTAATGGACATTTTATGATTGAACATTATTTAAAGAAAATGTATATAATTAGATTTAAGAATAACCCATACTAAATGAATTAATTATTAATTGCAGTTTTCAGTCAACATTGAAATTTAACAAATATTTGCTTGAAAAATACCTTCTCATACTACGATTGATGGTTTTATCGGGAGAATGAATATTATTCGACATTATATTATGTAAACAACTTTTGACTTAGCAACACGGTTAAATTAGTATAGTCATCCATGATTCAATTCATTGTCACGAAGAAAACGGAGCGTCGTTTGAGGTGGACTGTCGAAATGTAGAACCGGTGAAGCTTCAGAAGTAAAAAATAGTGATAATGGTAGTCACGGAACTCTTTAATCTTACAAATATTTGCAAAAAAGGGGCCCGGCAGACCCCCCAGAGAGTATTTTAGTTTTCTTCTAATGATTATTTGCGTGAATTTTCTTCAATCTTGGTCTATAAAGAGTTATAACGCCTTCACGTTTGGGCCCAAGGACTACAGATACATGACAGGGAGCAATCTTATTGCTTCATTAAAACGATTTATAACGGTACATATGAGAAGTTTTTTTCGCAATATTAATGCTAAAGAGCTTAAGTAAATCAAGACATAAGTAACTTAAAAAAATAAGTGCCTAATAAAGTATTTTATAAGTGAGCAGAACCGAATCTCGGTTTGTTTTTGATCGTTAAATTTCTAATAGAAATAATTTTTTTGAAAATAAGTTAAATAGGCAGTAATTAGCGCAATTTTATCCTCTGTCGATACCAACTTTCAGAAAGCTTCCTAAAATTACGCAGCTTGCACAATAGTCTAAAAAGTAAACTCGTAGAACACGTTCAGAGCAGCGCCCGGACTACGGCGAGTTGGACGAAAATTTTATCAATTATTGTCTACTTTGAAAAATCATATCTCGATATCTATAAAAGCTAGGAACATGAAACCGGTTCCAAATTAAAGGCAAAAACTTGTTCTTTATTGTTAGGGTTGTTGGAAAAATATACAAAAATTTTCCGAAGAGTTGTGAAGAGAAAAGTGAAAAAGTTGGTAAAAGTTGATCAAAGTTGATCGAAGTTTCGCTCACAACTTTCTGAGTTTTGAACTTTTTCAAAATCCGTTTTCACCAGTGTGTTTGTCTCAACAAGACGCATTTTTCTCCCGCTTTTACTATGGCAAAAATGTTTACGGTTTGGCCGCGAGAGTTGAAAAACCACCGAAAAATGGCCGAAAACAATTTTTTCAGGGTCAACTTTGACCCCCAATTTAGGGATAAAGTTTTGACCCGACAAAAAATCGTTCGAAATCCCAAACACACTCCAATCCTTCACCTTTCGTTTGAAATGAATCGCATTGCTCTGAGTTTGCAACTTTTCGAGCTATGATCGTTTCCGCAATCTCATTTTAGGTAATTTTTTGACCAAAATTTCCCCTTTTTTGGGGATTTTGGGGGGGAAGGAGTGGGAATTTCGGAAATCCGACAAGAAGGTTTGGTAGAAAAAATATGCGTACGTGTCTGTGCCAATTTTCATGAGATTCTAACGGTTGAGCTCCTGAGAAAAATGGCTCGAGTGAAAACTTTGACCTCAAACCCCCCTGTACGTGATTTTACAGCAGCAGCATATCAAAAGTGGAGAGTATAAGTTTAGCGTCCGCTTCGCTGGCTGTAGGCACACAGAAAGTGAGCCGCTCCTGCCGAATTAATTTCGTTACGCAACGAATTGCTAATTATGAAAAAATATTATTTCCTACAAAAGTGTGTTTACCCTATTATTATTTCATACCAGTAATAATTTGTGTGACAATTTTTTATTTTGTTAATAACTTTCTTTACAGGATTCCCGTCATAAAGTTTTCAGATCCCGGGACTCAAACGCCTGAAGGATGTTTTCCATGTAGCTACACTTCTGATTTCCCGTTCAGTCAAGAAATTTTGTCGGAAAAAATGAAGACCCATGGGATAAACGTAGAGCAAAAAGTGAGTGAATTCAAATATTATTAGTACTGCAATTGATTGACAACGATTTACAGAATTTTGAGTAGGAATTATTCACCTACGAGTACTAGGGGTATATATTCCACGACGCCTTAAATGAAGAAGTTATTTCCATGCAGCAGGTCACGAATCATCTGAATCTTGATATATTTTCATAAATATATTCTCGTTTTCATTTAATTGGTGGCACCCATGTTGTATATCCTATGAACAATTGTATGGCAACGGTACATTCTTAAGTTAGTGATGCTCTAATGTTAGGTGGGATTTGCTCCTCAACTCTCAAAATGAAGCAATGGTTTCTCATCCGACAGGAGGCCATAGTTCGTTTGATCGCAAGCCTCGAACAGGAAGGAAAAGGTCCAGCTACCAAAGATGATCATGAAGCTCAAATGTTCCTTGAAGAAGTTTTCTCTATGCTAAATCCACAAATCCGTTTGAATACACTTAAATTGGACAAGAATTCTACTGGCTTTCAATTCCACAAACTCGATTTCGAAGATGACACGAGTTGTCCCAAAATTGAAGATCCTCGCAGCAAAGAGGCTGCTGAAATGAGTGAAGGAGTAGAAGCGATGAAACAGACTAAGGTAGACGGGATCTTGTTTGAATCAGACGAGGGCTTAAAGGAGATGAAACAAATCGAGGAGACTGTGACCGAAAGTGATGCAAAGACAGCGCAAGAAGATCTTGTTGTTCAAGATAACTGCGAAGAAAACCTCAAAAGTCCAAAAAAGAGACGGATAAAGCTCATCAAAGCCTTAGCTGGGCTGCTTAGATGGTAAAATACTTATCAATCTTTCATGTTTAATGTCATGCTGCTCCGCAAATTTTTAAATGGAAACAAGTGGGAAAATCACATTTGAATCTAATTTGTGCTACTGCTCGTTCGTTGAGTCTGACATTTCCGAAAATTGATTATGTTTTTTTAATAATTTGTCTTTAGAAAATAAGTTTCCTCCTCTTTATCTTAAGGATTAAGGCAAAGAAAGCCTTGTCTAACGCCAAGAAGGATACGGCCGTTGACTTGGTTCAATTTACGGAAGAATTTGCGGTCACCTTCGAAGCCCTGCAGCTCTTGCTACAGGCACGTCGGCCTCTCGCCATCATTGGCTCGCATGGTGGGGTTAAAATTTGAAATTTGTCTTAAAAAACTCAAATGGAAAACTTGAAATGTTTCCTCGCACACCAGGTAATTCAATATCTAGAGATTAACTGTTCACAGTGTGCAATTTTACCTGAAATTTGTAGTATTGAAAAGTAAAGCCATGCAAAATTTCTTGAAATTGTAAGTACTTTGTACAACTCGTAAGTTAATGTTATTTCAGAGAAAACGTCAAGTAAATTAACTTTAAAAACGCTTTGGAGACCAGCCATATTAATTTTCAAAATTCCAGTACAGTCAATGGAAACAAAGTATTGACAGCAGTAAAAGTAAAATATGCGTACGGAATAAAAGGGTAGGGAACATAAAAAAATATCAACTAAGAATTTCAAGCGAATAAGAATTCTGGACTTTGTTACGGCATGGTCTCCGTGATTTCAAAATCAGAGGCACTATATAAGAGAGGGAGCCAAATTTTATAAAGGCTTTTCGCCGCAGGCACGTCATGCTCTTCAGCGTAAAGGGGCATAGCATATTGGGACGGTAAGCCAGCGGAAGTTCAGAGTGATATTTACTAGCCAGCAGGACATCCGCGGGACTCACCCGCCTCGATATGCTTAGCACCTTCAAGCTGAACAGTGCGATATGAGTGCGGTGAAGACCGATTTTCATATTTTGGGTTCCATCTCTGGGTGCATCAGTTACAATTTTGGAATAGCTGTATATTTTAAACGGAAACATAATTGACTTATCAAGGCACTTGAAATTGTTAATTGATAGGTTGTTATGTTCCTTGTCCATTTATTCGGCTCTTTTACTGCGAGCAATTTTATTCCTTTCCTGTATATCTGTTTTTTTTTTCTTTTTATTTTACCTGTATTTTTAGGGTTTTAAACAGATAATGGAGCTTGTCTCCATAATGTTTTCGATGAAGAAAATGTGAACTTATTCGATTTTTTTTTTTTTGCTCTTAGATTCTTTATGAAAAAAGCAAAGAAACGTTGTTGTTGACTTATGCTTGAACATATATTCAAATTTTTTAAGAAGTGAAGCGAAGCTAGAGGAACAGTTCAGCCACGTTCACATAACGTTGAACACTGACGAAAAAATATACTATATGGTCGTAGAATTAATAAAAAAATTCCTGTTTAGTTTACATTATATGAATATTATTCAGGCTGCGTTTTACATATCATGAATTTTTTATGTGTTGACTCTACATTATTCTTTATCAGGTAAAGGTATGTCGACGTTTTGGGATCTTTTCGAAAGGGTTACGGGATCTGGAATATTTATGGTCCGTTTCAAATGCACCGCAAAGGTCACACCTCACGATTTGTCAGAAACTTTAAGACGTGAACTCCAGCAAGTAAAATGCAACTCTGCCCGAGTCAGTGAAACTCTAAGCATTGACAGACAGGAGTTACGGACAATGACTGTGATAAATAAAACTGCGCTTAACAGCTGTCACGACGCGCAAGAAACAATGATTCAAGAAAGAAGCAATTCTCATTCACTACTGAAATCGGGTAAAACGGAGGATAATTTCGCCCTGAGTGTAAATGAGATTGCAAAGAATCAAAATTACGTAGAAAACAAGGGATCCAGTCACATGCCCACGAATCGCGAGACTAAGGAACATTTCAGTAGTCCAGGAGGCGAAGACTTGCTTCTTCTTTTTGAAGACGTCCACTTGTTGGACTGCAGCGCACCCGGGGCCCAAGCCATGTGGCAATGCATCAGGTTATTTTAATTTAAATAGTCACGATTGCAATGAATTAATTCGATTACAATTTGTTCGGCCGTTAAATTTTCATGGACATATCCTTGATAATTGTATGAATTTAATTTCATCTGATTCTATGAGTTGTTGCACTAGCAATACTAGCTTTGTTTTATTCAAACTCGTGAATTACTCATCAAATACTGAATGTTTTTTTTAAATTCATCAAATGCCGCAGAAGTATCACTGAGACGCAAAAGTTTTACGCATCAGACATCCACGAAACAATCGCCTTGCAGAACGTCATTCCTGTTGTGACACTTGCAACCTGCCACGACGGGGAAGTTGCTAGCAAAATTGCAAATCATGTCAGGCGTCATTTTGTCTTCGTAAAATTTCCTGGTCCATCACCATCGCGAGTCCGAAAAATCATCAAGGTAAAATTCTTTCCACTAAGTTTAGCGTCATTGAAAAATCGGAAAGCAGACAAATATGGCTAAAACTGGGTTTTATAATATGATATTATATAATAATATATAACAATGTAAATGGGTTTAGTAATGCGTATTTACCATCGAAAATCGTGTTAACAAACTCTGGCCAGTTTTTGATCCTTTTGTCGTCTACCTATTTCTCAAATAACTTTGAACCTTTCATTTATAATTACATCGAATATCACTTCAATTACAGTCTTCGAGTACTGTAAATGTTGGTTCATGTTATGACTCACTCATAAACAATAGTAACGCTGGGCATGCAAATATTTTTAAATTCATGCTTTCCATTTTATTTACAAGATAACTTCTTAAAGTCTTGCTCTGTCAGAAAATATAATCTGATTTAGATTAATGTTCATCCAAACGTCTCTACATAGCAACACTTGGAGGACGTCTTGCCAAAGTCAGAAGATTACGGAGACAATTTTTCAAAACTTCTGAAGGTAATCGAGGCACTACACTTTAAAATCGAGGAGCTGACGCTAAGCAACGAGGAAAATAATCAAGCATTACGCCTGCAGACCAGAGCTGTTCACAACGTAGATCCAAACCTGCATCACCTCATTCGGTTAACTCATCGGCTGGGTAAAAGCTTGGCAATAGTAAATTCATCCCCAGATGTGTTCCATGGTCTGGTCAAGTGGCAGTGCAAGCAGGTGTACGAGGCCACAAACATCGCAGACCGGTTGAATTTCACTAACATTGTCGAAGAGATTTTACAGTCGTTTTTGCCCCATTCAAGCCCATCGACTGCTAATCTTGTGTGGTGGATGGACTGCGGAAAGAGTGGCGAAGCTGTCCTTCGGCGTGCTAAAGATTTTGAAGTTTTCACGAATAAACTACAGGTTTGAAAATATAACGCAGTACTCACTGCAGTGAGTGACAGAGAGCGCATTTTCTCGTTGCCAAGTATCATGGATACTCGGCAACGTGAAGTTGCAGACAGAAAGATGGACGGACAGACGGACGGACATTACGAGCACAATTAGCGCCTTTTTTTCCATATATAAGAAAATGCGCTAAAGAGGGTCATTAAGATAAGGTTGACATTTTTACAGACGTCAATTTCATTCTGAAGACACAATGATAATTTTACTAACAAATTTACAATTGGTTTCATAATATCAAACGTGTTCAATTGAATTTCTTTAAATATATAAAAACCGATTTAGTTTAGTAATAGTTTTAGTTGAGTTCCTTCACTATCTCCAGTTGAGTCACTCGCTCTCTTCACTGGCATTTCTTATGATTTTGGTCAAAACTGGGCACATCTTTCTGGAAGTTTAGTGTCTCGTGCTCAGTTCGATGACAAATGATTTGAGTTCAACCTTGTAATAACCGTCATGTTGTCAAGGCTCACGCTAAGGACGATACGATGATCCTAACTGACGGCAACATTCGCGTGATGCAGCGCATGATCGAAGGTCTACATGATGTGGTGCAAGGCCACCTCATGGTCTCCGGGACTCCAGGTTGCTGTCGCCGGAGAATGTTGCTAACTGCTATACGGTTCTCCGGGTATCGGTGAGGGTTACAACTCGGTATATACGCATCGCATTTGCAGTTATATCATTGTAAAGGTTGATGAGTTATTGTGTATTGTGTTAGGAGCCTGGCACTACAGATGTATGTGATCTGTTCGCGCCTGTATGCACTATACTGATCGTGCCTTGAAATACTATCTTCCCTGGACCTGAAAAGTTATTCTCAGTATGGGGAACATTAAGATATTGTCAAACCCAGAGCTAGGGATTGGTTCAGGGATTGAAATTATTTTTCAATTTGATATCGATAAATCTAATTTTAAGTGTACATAAAAATTTTAATTTTTGCGAATGTAGGCAAGTGGCTGATCTATGTGGAATATACGAGTTCAAGCATGTTTTACTTTGATGGGGATACATCAACTTTATTCTTACTAACGCGATACGAGATAGCCTGATACTAAAATAGCTGAGAAACTCTTGCTAACGTGCTAGCATATAGGACAGAAATAGATAGCCGTTGTTTTATCTTTAATGACGAGGGATATAAAGAAATAGCTGTACTTTTATCTCTAATGATGGATAGAAATAGGTAGCCATAGTTTAATCTTTAATGATGTTGATAAAATATCTGACAAATGCATACAAGTAACCAATTTTGTTTGTTCTGTAGGACATTTGAAGTTGCGCCTACTTTTCTCAAAGCCGGTGACAGTTTAAATGAAGAATGGCTGATCACAATACGCCAGGCTATTCAGTCTGTACTGGCGGACTCGCGGCACTGCGCCATAGTCGTCCGCACAAGACTGGCTCCACGGAATATCTTGGCGAAACTCGTTGCTCTTGCAGTGGACGGTATGTCGCTATGTCCCTCATATGGTTAAGACCTGTGCTATGGATGCAAGTAATAACGCCTAATATTGTAAGCTAGAATAAACACTTACGGTACTAGGTGAATAAATAGCATGGTGTATTGCTGGTTTCGGAATTATTATTGTTGTCATCTTAATTAAATTGATATATTATTAACTGATACTTGAATTTATTTAGTCAGGTTGCGTCCGTAGCGTGTCAGGCTTCTCTAGGAGGATTCGTGTACAAGTTCTCGTATGAATGAGCCACTGTAAAATTGGGTTAAGGAAAAGGGTTTCAACAAAACGCCGATGCGATTAATTTTAAACTATAGGAATCAAGGGCACGTCCTACGTTAAGAAAATTATTAATATAGAAAAGAGTAATTCGAAGATAATTAATGTTGAAAATCTGATGTTTATTACATAACTCAACTTTCTACTTTACCAGAAACGTTGTTCCATTTTGCCGCTCCCTAGAGTGCAATGACTGTTGTGAATGACCGTTTCTCACGCGCAAGTCTGCGGCCGTACCGCAGATGTAGCCATACGTCCTCGCTGATGCCTTTAATTGCACAGTCGCTCAGACTTCATCGCCGTAATCTCCCTGCGTATAAAGATGTCTCACGGTCGGTCTGTACGTAGATTTTTTAACAACCATGCTTCAACTTCTGAATAATGGCGTTCGACTTCAGCGTCGATGATATTACTCCCAACTCGTTTCCGTACCGCTGCTGCTGATGATTGTGACCGAACTGTGTTGATGACCGTACCGATGAGAATTGTTGTTCGGTCGATTCCTGAATAGTCTGATTGCTGACGTTATTATCGTTGAAGGCCTTGTTGCCCATCCCGTTTTCTCACGGCTATAAGTACAAGCCGTAGCAATGAATGTTGACCGTACAAAGAAGTGAAATCATGGCCGTTACTTGTAGACTTCCGACGTGTTGTTATATTGGAGTCGTAGTGGCATGGATGACTCGAAGTTTCACAGGGCCGTTATTTATGGCCTCGCCGACCTACTGCCGGGGCCGTCATCTATGACTGCGGAGATAGCTGCAGACCGTACTTGCTTGACGGTCACCACAGTAGAACAACCCTTTGGCGTTAAATTTCGGGTGCTTTTATAGGCAGTTGGCGCGCTCACTTAGGCCTCGCCAGAAGACGGCGCGCTTTGACATCGTTTCGAGTTTAGCAAAAGTCGGCCCTCGCGATACCCTCGGCCGTTCCAAACTGTGAACAAGCAGGCTCCCATATGGTATTCTACCGCAGCCTTGCGTTCAAAGTATATCCCGTCTATAATTGCTTTACATAGCTATCCTTTCTCTAATGCGCACAAACTTTGTTCAATATTAAATTATAAACTGAAATGAGATTTACATGCGCTTTATTCATTATTATGCTCTCAGAAAGCTTTCAATTTTCGGATTAATGCAATGAAAATCTGGATCATGCTTAGATCGTTTGCGCTTACCGCGATGTAAATAAATTTGTTTTTAACATCATGATAAGTCAGATAGAGTTTAAAGTATTGAATATTCGTCAGGTTGGACCCGGGGTATTTTTAATCAAGATGAAGAGGAAGGACTCCTCCGATCATCCCTCGTATCTGACGAAGAACAGCATTTTGCAGGACTTCCAATACATCTGCTGCCTGAACACAGATTCGCTGGTCACAAGACTCTGCAACAATTACTACGCAGAAAACTTCACATTTGCTTCATCGTGGAGACTGGCGACGTGAGACAGTTGTTTGGTTTTCGAACGTACACTCTCATACTGATAACAAACCACTGTAACAAACTGACAATGACCACCGTTTTTTAGCAACATAGTGTATTTTCAATGGCTATTTTCACAATTGATTCTTTGTATGAAGATTGTAACTCTAATTACAGGCTCCTTCATGCAAATGATATTGATGCACGTAATTTACACGTATTTACGGGCTAAGGGCTTGAGTAACTGTAACTCGATGTCATTTTCCCTTATTTTTATTTCAGAGTTAATTTTTGCGCTTCTACTTGACTGATAGTTATCCTAAAAGTTCATTTATGTAAGTAAAATTGTCAATAGAACTCTATAAATCAGTTTTACCTTGACAACTTGTAATGATTCACTTCATGATCATGTTATTATTAGACAAACTGAATTATTTTATCCAGATGATACAAATAATTATTGCTCATATATCTGAAGTTTGAACTGTCTCTGAATACATAAAAAAGTACTAAATTGTAACATAGAGTGTGAACTGCATCAAATTGCTCTGCTCATTGCAGGGCGTTCAAGAGTTACGGCAGATAGACGAGGCTGTGCTCTGGAGCTGCACCGCCGTGCCGGTCTCGCCGCCGACTGCCGAGGATTTGGCCAGCGTTTGTGAAGCGCTTCTGAAGCCGCTTGCTATTCAACCTCAGTTTCTTGAACAAATAAAACGATGCGTAGTCAAGATGCAGCAGGTAGGGAAATTACGTATAAAAAAAATTTAATTCGATGGAGAGGGAATTCCCACTGAACATTCGTATATATGATTTTTTTGGTATAACATGAAGTGGTATTAATGTCAGGAGTTATCATATGATCATTTGTCTCTTGTCGGGGTCGATTCAATAATTAAATATTAAAATAAAGTCTCCTGTGAAGGCAGATGTTAGTTATGGTCGTGTGATAAATATTTCTTTTAGCGAAGGGAAGAATCAATAAAACTGCATATATATAAAAACCATAATTTAAATAACAATTTATGTACACATAACAAAAGTAAAACGGGTCTTTTTATTTTGGTCATCGATCATTTTTATACTTTTCTAGCGTGAAATGTCTAACTCCTTGCTTCGCAACCTTTCTACCAACACGAACAAACGATAAATTGCCGATACAAAATACAACACGGATGGCATGTGATAAATCAGTAAAATACAATATAATTACGAATAATAACGGTCGCTCAAAACATCACAGATCAGTACGGGTATGATAACACAGAGATAAGCACGATTAATTGAACCACGCATCTCTGATGGAATCACGAATCAGAATGAAGAAATCCAACGCATTCTACGCGAAGTCACCTCCATAATTACTTGAACACAAAATGAGATATTAACTAATTTAAACTATTAACAACTTAACGTGCTTTGTCAGCTGTGCGGATCTAATCGCAGGAACAAAATAGTGTGGCTCAGATTATTCCTTGGCTTGATAAATATAACTTTAGTAAATTCTCGTGTACTGAGAGCGTAGCCCAAAATTCCATGTATTAGCGCTTCTCTCGCGCTGTCGTGTTACTCATACAAACCATGTTAAAATGAGCGGAATGACATGCAACGTCACTAGTAGAATTTCTAACCTATGAATGCAATGGTCAGACTTTACTACATATACTGTTACGCCGTGTTCGTCCCTGTTGTAGCGCAGTTAATTACTATGTATTAGCGTTCATCTCTGTTGTAGCGCAGGCGCTGCGTAGCGTTCATTTCTGTTGTATCGCAGTCGCTACGATGCGTTCATCCATATTTTAATGCTACGCACTATTTTTTCATCATTCCGTGTAGGTAGGAGCGGTGTTAATGAAGTAGTAGTTATTGATGCTGATTGAGTTGACCAATTAAGTTAGCAAGTTTTTTTCAATGGTATACGTATACGATATAAAATTTCAGTAATTGAAGAGCATACATCAGTATGTATTACCGCAACATCAATTATCGATTTAAAATTATTTGTTCAAAATTTGTTGATTATTTGCTCAAGATGGTACAATTTTTTTAGGTCCGATAATATTTTTGAAATGAAATATTATTATCAAATTTACATTACTCTCAACTTTCTTTTTTGTATTGAGTAAGTTTGCTACGTGTTATGCATGAATGAATTTGTTTCAAACATCCTCCAACGCAACTGGAAATAGTTTATGCCCTATCAACCCGCATAATAGCTAACGCCAATATCAATAAATAAAATATATGCAAATTGTTATTTTTCTGATTGTGATTTATTTTAAAAATGCTCAAAATTTATTCAATGCATATAATTTTTATGTAACGATACCTGCGGTACTTTATTTACATGACATATGTAGTATTTAAACAAAAATATTTCAATTACCGTATGCAGAAGATAGTTTCACCTTCTTCCTCAAAGCCTGTAATAGCTTTTCTCAAAGTTTTCAAACCCTCACACAGAAGGTATCTCCTCGACCAGTCTGCCTCGGCGATTTTGTCGAATTTTGTCTGCTGTTCCGAGGATTTTTAGTGCAGCGACGGCAACAACTGAGTGACGTCATGACTTTACTTCAGGACGGGCTCCAAGTAATCCTTTATGTTTTTACTTCGTAATCATAACGATAAAAAGTTAAAGAAACTCGCAATTGGTCATCACTACGATGCGTTCATCCTTGAATGCGTTTGTACTTTCAAATCATGTAACTTTTCAATAAATTAATTACCCCATGACAAGTTTTCAAAAGTCGTTCATCATGAAATTTTCAAATCTAATACTTGTATAAACAACCGTCAGTCAGCGTGTAGTGCACAAAATATACCATTTGTCCAACGAAGATTTTTAAGATTTAATTGGTTCTACCTCAAGCGACTGAGTGAGTCGAGCAAAAACGTAGACGAGCTTCGGTCTGAGTTGTCTGCACTTGAACCAGCGCTCAAGAGAACATTGGAAATGTCGGTCAGCATTACATCAAAATTAGGCGAGCAACGAGATATGGTGGCGCAGCTTCGTGACCAACTCAACCAGCACCTTGAGAAAGTTAGGGTACGTTAAATTTACTGACTTCAGTGATCCAAAATCATAAAATCATTCGACCTGAGCCTTTTTAAATACACCAATGATTAATCTTCAACAGTCCCATATTAGTTGAGATTATCGTAACTTTCCAACATAACCAATGCTGATTTCAATTACAGGAATTATGATTTTGGGGGGTTAGTTGCTACCTTAAATAATTTCTCCTGAGAAATTTTATGTGATAGGTATATTAGCCATCCACCATTACCCTTAAGACCGACAGATTTTCCGTAACTCGTCTCAAACGAAATTTTTTTATATACCCAGAAAAAATACACGAGCTGTTGATTCCTCACAAAGCATATTGTTAAATGTATGCATCTATTAATGCAGAACCAGGAAGAAATTGTGGCCAAACAACAAGGAGAAGTTGCTGCAGAACTGAAGGTGGTGCTAGGCACTATAGAAGCAGCAGAGAAAGCGCTCAAAGGGCTCGACAAGAAGGACCTGAGCGAAGTACGCGCTCTCACTAAACCTCCTGAGATAATAGTGACCTGCTTGGAGCCCCTGTGTCTGCTGCTGGGGGTCAGGTGAGGGTGTTCTTGGTATTCCTAAAAAAATTAAGTTTGTAAATAAACAAATTTGTTTTATGTTGAGAATGATCTTCATCTCTAAATTATTAAATGTCTGATGATTAATTCTGCAACACAAGCTCCCAGGCCTAACGGTCGTCATTAAGGTTGTCCTGTGGCTTCAAGTCCACCCAACGTAGACACCCGGAAAAAGATATAACTCTGTACTCACTGCAGTGAGTGACAGAGAGCGCTTTTTCTCGTCGACGAAAACGTGAAGTCACGGACAGACATGACGAGCACAATAGCGCCTTTTTTCCGTAAATGAGAAAGATCATTGGTCCTCAAAGGAAAGAAAACGCCCAGCATGTTCACTATGTCTTTATAAAAAATGTCTCGGAGCTCATCAAAAAAATCAAAAGAATACAAGTTTAGTCATTAAAATGTTCAAATTCACACGGATGATATTAAAACCCAAATGCCAAATGAACGGCCATTCCGCTTTAAAATATGCATCGATTTCAAATGCTTAAATCTTGGGCGCTGAAGGTATAGCCTAAAATCGTAGAATCGCTCTCAAACGTCGTTATTGTTTGGCGTGAAGGCGTATAATAAATTGGGATAATTTATACAAGTAAATAACGGGGTTGAATTATCCCGTTTTAGACATAAATGACAAAAAAGTTTGTAGGAATACCAGATGAAATGAAGTTACTTCATTCAAACGGCACGAAAGTTTAATCGATTTTTTTTTTCAGAAGAAGACTTTGCGTGTACAGGCCGGAGTGGTCGTTGATGAAGACTTTGTGTGTACAGGCCGGAGTGGTCGTTGATGAAGACTTTGTGTGTACAGGCCGGAGTGGTCGTTGATGAAGACTTTACTGGGCGACGCTTCGATGGTCAAGAGGCTGCTGGAGGTCGACAAAAACAACATCAATGACGTGATGATGCGAAAACTCAAGAAATATCTTGAGATGCCAACGTTCTCTCCTGATGAAGTAAATAACTGTTGAAAAAAGTCCCTCAAAATTGTTCATGTTCTTAACACTAATTGGATAATTAACCGTATTGTATTAAGTGTGCATAAATCTAACTAGTAATATTATTAGAATGAATTGACTAAGAACTTATAAGCTCTGGGAAATATTGAATTCTTATACAATTTAATGAAAACTTTTTTTTTTTCAATAAAAAGATGTCCCTGTGCTCAAAGGTAACAATTGCTTGGTTATTTTATAGAAAGTTAAATATTATGTATAATACTAAATATTGTCCCATAATTTTTATACCGACAAAACCTTGTGTTGTGAATAATATTCAGTCAATTATTATAAATGAAATTCGGCAGATTGGGAAAGTTTCGCGGCCATGTCGAGTTTTTTGCGTTTGGCTGCTCGCTTTGGACCAATACACGCAAACGCTGGTGCAGCTGCAGCCGAAAAAACTGAGGTAGAAAATTAGCTTTCTATTATTTATTTTTTATTCAGAAGCATGACCGAAAACATGGCGTATTTTGGTTCTGCTTGTAGTGCGGCAAAGTCTACGGAATCAATTTGAACAATATCGATATGCGTGGTGTTTGAGGCATTTGCATCCATTGCTTTACGTGCGCTTTCACGTCAAAATACAAAAGTCTTGTTACTGAAGAAAAAAATCAATGATAACAAGTTGCAGTTTGAAACAAAAAAATCATTGTACGAGTCAGAAGCCAGTAATACCCAAAATTAATTCTGTTAATTTGTACTTCTCCTTGATCTTCGCCTAAGGACTCTATGATTCATTAAATTTCTAAACATCAGACTTGCTGATGTCGAGAGAGATCTGAGCGCACTTCTACTGCAGCAGCGGCAAATTCAACAACAAATGAGTGAGTTTTTCGCCTTCGTTTTGGAGATACGCTGTCTAGAGTTTCATCCAATGCAACTAAATGGTGCACCCGTTTTATCTTAATGCTGAAAGTTTCTGATGACCAATAGCATTTCTACTCGCCAGACGGAATATGTCTTCGGCACATCTGATGTTCTATGTAAAAACCATGAAATCGCTGTCAGAAATTATAAATACTAACTACGGAAATTTAAATACAGTTATTGAACTACGATAACAAAAGAACGATGGTTTTATTTAGAACGATGGTTTTATTTATATCCACAATTATAAAATGATGTATAACTTCGTGAAACATTGTCTGCCCGCCCTTGTACACGTGAGGTGAGGGAGAACGTGTCCTGGTAGAGCTGCAGGCCCAGTATGAAGAGAGCGTTAGCTCGCGCCAGCAGCTGGAAGGAGCCATCAGGTCGGCCAGCGCGAGGCTGCAGCGCTGCGCCAGACTCACCACCGTCCTCGCTGACGAGGAAACCAGATGGCGTCGAGATCTCGCAGTGAGCACAAACACGAAGATTTGAAATGGTCATAAGAATGGAAAAATATATTATAAAAGTCGTTGGAATGAAAGTAGACTACATGGGAAGTGTTGCAAAGTCATAATAATTGTTCATGATCTAAATGTTATTGCGTGCGTTTCCTTATTCACTGAGCTTCAAACTCGGTCAATGAGGCATTATATATCAACATCTAACATTCTCGCCAAAATTAAAAAAAAATAAGCCATACACATATGTATTTCTTATATCCACACGCGTTTAAATGTAATTAATGCAACACCCTAACTCGTGGTTGTTGTTTTCCTCAGAGCCATGAAGCAGAAGCAGAAACCATGGTCGGAGATTGCCTTTTGGCCGCCTTCGCATCGGCAAATTTTGCGCGCCTGAATCCAATAGAAATAACTCGACATCTCCATGAATACACTCCAATTTTACATGATGAATTTATCAAGTTTTATCATCAGTTGAGGTATATTCTGATATAAAAATCTAGCACGCATTATAATTATAGCCTCAAAAACACCGGTAAGCCTTCAGTCTCCGACTATCGATTATAATTATCGGCCGGCCGTTGTTCGCAATAGAAATTTATTCACGAGTGTACTTTAAATATTTAAACTCTTCTAATAAATAAAGATAAAATATCTAAGTGCTGGTGAGAAATAGCCATAAATAGAACTAAGTGCGATTGAACCACAAATTTGGTGCAATCGTATCACTCGTGGAATGAACCACGCACGATGTCGCTACCATTTAATAAGTAATTTAAACACTGCAAGGTTTTAAAAATAAACTCCAATATATGGGACTCTAGACATAATTTCCGCCCCAAAGTGTAAATTCTAATTAAATTTCTTACTCAACATTATGTGTTTTTGTAATTAGCAGCTCATTTTCTCATAGTTTCACACCAAAATACCAATATCAACGTCAATCATCTCTTTGATCCGTGAAGGCTGAGCGCGTCACTGAGCACCGCCGCGCAGCAGGCAGCTTGGACAGCGGCTGGTCTGGACGATGACGCGTCCTGCTACTGTCAGGCCGCGGTGCTCTTCGCCGCTCATCGTCCCTTACTCGTCACAGACCCGCATCAGCTCGTAAATATGGGACTGATATATGCTGACCAAATGAACATGTACAGTAGCTCAAAATATCATTTACATACTTCATTCCGCATGGAATTTAGGTGCACACTTTTTGTTTATATTGTCATACATTTTTCAGGTAGTGCCATTCCTAGAAAAGTTTTACGAGAGCACCGGAGGGATTGTGCTTCTGAGTTTCGGTCAGAGTGACGTCATGCAGAGACTGGGCGACGCCTTGAGAGACTGCACCAAGCGAATCGTCGTGAGACACGTTCTTGTCGCCCACGCTGCAAATCTCGAAGCCATTCTTAGATTCACATCAGAATCCGTAAATAAAAAGCAGATCACTTCGACAATTTTTTCAACAGCGAAATATATATTTAAAGAACGCACTTCTTCGCTTATTGTGACATTATTTATTAAACTAACAAAACCGTAATGTAACGAATAGTAAAAAACAATTCGAATAGAACATCAATAATTCTTCATTAGCTCGTAAGAACTCGATGACAAAATCGACAAATTTGCACCTGAAAAAGAACGTACAAACAAGTTGCTTCAGATATCTTCAACCGATCCATCGAGAAAATTTTGTAAACTTATCTTCAAAATTTATTAATTACAATATTTTAATTTTAGATACTTAAAATTTACTTCAAAATTTACTTCAAATGATTTCTTCATTCTTCTTTCGAACAGATCATATCATCTACAAAACAGAAGCACGTTACCCGAAATTTAAGTGCAAGTGGCGGTCAGACAACTCGTCCCACAGATGTGCGCTTAGGAAACTCGAACTTTCCTTTCCTTGGCGTTGACGACGAAAATTTCGTGTTTTCACAAAACAAATGCCGACTCATCCTCGTCTGCGGAGACTCGCAGCCGATTATTCACCCGACAATCTCTCCTCTCGTAACAAGGCTATTGTTCGGGCTCATGCCTACGGTGCTGGAAGACAGGCTTCTTGAGTGAGTATTTGGTATGGCTAAATTTTGCTTCAAATTATGATAGTGGTATATGATACTAGAGGATATTAAAAATCAGTAATATTTAGCTTATGGCTAGACACGCTCATACACATCACAGTTCAACAGAGACCAGCTCATTCACTTAGTTTTTGTGTTACTGAAATGTTTAACTCATATTGAATTTCAACTTTCTCCATATTTTCTTATGCGCTCAGCGTAAATTGGACAAAATGGTTACTCTAACTATCTTGATTGAAGAAAATATATTTTAATCGTGTCGCAGTACAGTACTACTGCACGAGAGAGAAGACTTGCACAAACAGAGGCAGCAGCTAAGGCAATCCATTATCAAAGATGAGGAGAACATTGCGTCATTAGACAGGTCCATTCTGCTGCGCCTCAAAACGGCTCCTGCTCCCATGGAAACCGAAGTTTTGCTGGCTGCTATTTACGAGGCCAAAGTACGTACTATATATGGTGTTTCTTAACTAAAAATTATCAAGTCCCTCCACAGGCTTGATGAGTGTATCATTTCATGCTAACGAAGGCTTAAGATGGGTAGACTAGAAATGGAATTTATTTCAAAATAATTTCCCTGAATAAGTTTTGTAAGAAACTTTTGTATCTTCAACTAAATACTTGTATAAATTTTTGGCAATGACATATTTTGTTGGCTGAATTCTCCTGTACTGTTCTCAGGCGTCGGCAGCAGAGTGTCGCACGCGCCTGGCCGAGAGCAGACGAAATTTGCAGAAAATCAGCAACGTCCGCGACAAGTACCGAGCGGTGGCCGCCAGAGGGCGAATTATTTTCTCTTGTTGTTGGTATCTTAAAGTTCTGGACGTTTCTCACGTCTTCTCCACGAGACGTTTCCTCGAGGTATTTTTTCATTCAAACATCAGATGACATGCATAAAAATAGGACTCACAAAATTTATGCATAAAAATATCATATGAGGTGCATAACAACTGGACTTATCTCTAAACCATGTTATCTCTAAGTGTTTGACATCATGTTAACTCGATGACGTTGGAGATTAGGCGAAGCATCTCGCACCGGAACTAATATTTCGACCTTTTATGATAATTTGTAAAGATTTTTTTCTTTTAAATGAAAACTTTTCATTTCAGTTATACTCTGAATGCGTCAGTAGTGGAGCCGATGTGGACGGAGCCGAAACCATGAGCTTTGACCAAAGAATTTTGTCGCTGGTAACGTTAGTGACGAGGCGGATAGTGAACGAGATAACGCGCGCTCTGAGATCCGGGAACAGAGACGCATTTTTGACGACTTTAGCAGCGGCGGCTTTGTTGGAACAAGAGGAAGTTCCAGCCGAACACTGGAGAAGGGCTTTAAGGCCTGTGGAACAGGTTATATTTTATTCCTACTGAAGCCTTATCTTACAAAATTCAAACGTTTCCGTTTTCTCAAAAAAAATCTGTTCATTACCGGTAGTATTCGAAAGTCGGTAGGCTTTTAGGTGAGTGTTATCGGTAACTTATTAAGAATATTGTTCCACAAGGCAATTTTTTGTACACATTATCTTATTTCTTAAGAACTGTAACAATGCTATTGCTGATAATGATAACCATTCTGTTCGTTTTTCTAACTACTACGGTTCATAAACAAAGTCAAGTAGCGTCGGTGAACCTGATGAAATGAGTTGGTCAAACCTGGCTCGCTGTAATTTGGTAACCTACATATGTAAAAACGAAGAACTTCATAGTTGATCTTGCAAATAAAAATTAGGTACGTGAGTGAAAATTGGTGAAAAGTTTTTTGTTTGTATTTGCTTGAATATTTGATGGCACCGCAGATAAGAATCTCTTGTGTGAATCTTATCCGAAAATTTCTGGTGAATATCAATAAGAGTCTTTCTTGCTTTTTGCATTTTTAAGTAAGTGGACAACGAAGCGAAAATATGTTTCGAGTGTAATTTGTTTTATACTATCTAGGATAATATAAAAATTGCTACGTGAAATTAAGAGAGGATGACATCCTTCTTTTTGTGACAGGCGTCACAAGTGCAGGAGGCCGTGAGTGGCCTGGCTGAGGTGGCAGACTCGGAGGCCCTGAGAGACGTGCTGTCTTCGCTGCTGGACGGTGCGGCCTACCGCTTCGTTCTGTCCCAGCTGGCACTGGTGAGTCAAGCTATGCATTCATTAGAAATGCTATTATTACCGAGAGAAACACTGCATCTAAAATATGCACTGCCTGAATGACTTGAATAGCACAGAATGTGTAGGTATTTTCCGTCAATCATAGGATCGGTTAAAAAATAATGAAATAAATAATGAAAATCGTGACTCACTTAATTCCGATCATGGATTCTAACAAAATTTTTGAACCATATATGATTTTAAATCTTACGCTTGCGCCTATAAAGGCTATTTACATAACCTCATGAACTGTAATTTTTCTGATGTATTCCCTATTGTGATTATCCCAAATTTAGCAAATATTAGTGACGATTTAGATACTAGTCTTATTTTTAGCAATTTCTTTACAAATAACATAAATGTTTATCATGAAAGGGAAGTCGTCAATAAACCTTCAGTATTCCATGTATTACTTATAGCTGAAAAACGGTAAAAAATTCATCCAAAATGGAGTTTTCTGCAGTTTGTCAGCATGAAGAAACAACGACGAGTGTTGGGGCGCTTGCCTAGAAGCATATCAATGTTTCACAGCTTCCTACTCGTCAAGCTCCTCAAACCGACTTTCGTGAGTATTACAATATATTGTCTCCTTAATTTCAATTTTAGCACATGACCATGAAAGTATATTCGACGATGACCTCTAAACATCCTTAAATTTAATAACTCAATTTTTTAATTGAACAATTGCTTCACATTTCTATCGAAATTCGATGAAATAAAATATCGTACGGTACGTCATTTGAAATTTTGTCTTCCATCATTGAACAGTTGATATTTACAAAGTTTCGGGAATTCTTTGAATTAAAGCTGTGATTAACATGTCCAATGTACACTTACTGACATCTGGAAGTATAAAATATGTTCTAACCACAATTTTGGAAGCGTAAACTTCGTAATTTTCTCAATTAAAATCATATATATTAAATAAAGGTACGTTATAATTTGCATCATATATTTACATACATTCATGTTTTCTCAATCTAAATTTGTATTCCTATCAGCTTCTCGTTAAACGTGCCTTAAGCTTGATTTGAGCTTGAATTATCGGCTTTATATATCTGCTCTTCGTTACATTTTTCTGAGCGAAATGAAGGCATGATTAGAATTTGGTAAATTCCCTAATGGTCGCGGGGTGACAGAGGGGCGCGTGTGCTAGGCACCTATTACCTTCCAGGACAGGCACGGCCGAATCTAAAACCGGACCAAACAAACGCCCTCTTCTGCCTCTTCTAAGGGGGGTCAGCAGAGGAAGTTTCATTTTATACATTGTTATTTGCATATCCCTGTTCTAAAGACGGTATTATCAATAACACAGAAGAAAATGTAATTTTGTGGCACAGAATGGAAATGGCGCATAAACAATAATATGAACCGGTAATAATATTATTTAACAATACTTTCCAAGTTGTTCATCAATTTCTCGCGTCTGTTTGTTATATCACCAGCTGCATTATAAATGGAAAAAATAAATTCAACAGTATGCGAAGTTTGCCCAAATTAACCATGGCGAAGGAAATTTAGATTTTCAAACGAAATTTCATAAAATGCCAGTGAAAAACTATCAGCTCATTTTGTCTGGTTTATTATTCACTCTTAAAATATTCACGGGATACACCATAATTATTTCATGAAGGTATAATACAGAAGTTTAAGCCTGAAATACTCAATGTTGGTAAGTATTAAATCAATGTAAAAATATAACCCTGCAGGTGGTGTGGGCGGCTCGGGACCTGGTGAAGTCTGTGCTGGCGCCTCCTGAAGCACTTACACAAAACTCCAAGATTAATATAAAGTTGGTGGAAATGAAATGAAAAAATATCATTTCATAGTTATTACATTTTAGTGAGGCATTCACGTCTCATTTTGATATATGTTTTATTCGCAGTCAGTAGTAGGGGAATATATTGACTTTGGCAAAAATTTTAGTTCATTTAAAAAATCAAGATTACAAATGGGCTCCTCTGAATTGTGATCATTCGAAATTTCACTAATCATAAAGTTTTAATCCCTCATCAATTACTGCAAATACTTTGATATTACAAAAATTGCTAATATTATCCAAATTTAAACGCAAAAATACACAACGCCATGCTACAAATTTTGTATGTCACATGTCGTTTTCACTATAGGCCGTTGAATTGAATATAAGTTGTAAACAGGTGATATTTCCACCAGTATGGGCAGTTCTGCAAGAGAGATGGCAGTTTTGGTTCGTCAAGATCACCACGCTAACGCCACAACGCCCGACGTCGTTATTTCCATACTCCAGAAAGCGGCAGCTGAGAACAAGTTGCCTATCACACAAATATGTTGGACCCCGACAAATGTATGTTGCGCAACAAGCTTCATTCAAGCCGAAAGTATGCGCGTTACTTGGTATAAAATAGAATAACGGGCGGATATGGAACAGACAAGGCCCACCGAGGTCATTTATGTGGTTGTAACTGTGTTCTCTTCTCGTGTTCTCTTGTGACCCACTTGGATTTATCAACTTTCTCACCGTTGTGCGTGTCACTAGGAACTAGTGACCCTACTTTTTTGCTTCTGTTTCTACTCCTCTGTTGCACACACGACTGCATCGGTGTTTTCGTTACCCCCTCTCCTCCTACCCTCTCCTTCAGGGGGTACCTTTGCCTCGAACTCGACGGGCTTGTCCTTCCTCCCCCACACTATACAGCTTCTACACCCACGACCTCCCACCACTACTACCCATCACAGACTGCATAGCTTTTGCAGATGACACAACACAAGTAACCACAGGACATTATCCACACAACCTCGCAGCAGTACAAACACAACACTCCATACAACAGATCAACATCTTCGAAAACAAATGGCTCATTAGGACAAACACAAATAAATTTAAAATCATCCACATCAGTAGGCAAAACACCTCCGACGTCTGCATAGACAACGCCCACTATCCATACACGAACAAATGAACAGTGTTAGGTTTACAGTTGACAACACACGGCTTCAGCTCCCAAAAAGCGAAAAGAAAAAGCCCTCGCTAATCTACGCAAAATACAAAGATTTTACCACCTCCAACGCAACATAAAACGCACTTTATACCTCTCCTTCCTCAGATCATCCTTCATTTACCCCCTATAATGTTACACACCCAATCAAAATCATCCATATCCAAACTTCAAGCAGTAAAAACAAAGCCATAGAATTTATCACAAACATACACTACTCCGACTTCACATCCTCTCAAACACAACACGAACAATGTGACATTCCTGCAATAAACACAGACGTTCACCAACAGGCCCGAAAAACTTGGTATACTATCAAAACATATGATTCAAAACTCCTTCATCAACTCACATTCCCTCCAGACGCCATAGCAATGCAGCACGGGATATTCAAAAGCTCCAAATTACACGCACTAATGTCCCCACCTCTACCTCCAGAAAATAACTACACAGCGGACCATGCTGCGCCCGGGCGGCAGTTATTCCCATCGCTTCTGAGTGTAGTTGGTCCATAACAACCCACATCATCCAATGCACTACCACGCTGACGGACTGACGCAACTCACCGAGAGTAATACACAGTAAAGACGAGACCGATGAACTACTGAAAACCCAGCAATATTTGACAAAATTCATCTTCTGAGTCTCGAGCGACTGACCATCCTCATTATTATTATCACCAGCATTATCACCTTCATCGTCAACATACCATCTTTTTGAAAAAAATATAGAAAAAAGCGAAAACGCGTGTAAATATTATGAGCACACATTAATTTTATTTTTATTAAAAGTGCTAAAAAATTTAAATAATGTAAATAAAGAACCGCCACCTTCTCATCACCCACTCGTTTAAACCATAAAAGCCCTGCCGGGTTCCCAGCTCCCCACTCCCAACCCCAAACAAAACCCACTCACATACAACCCACCCATTCATGTGCAATGCGCCGTATTCATCTCCTACTGTCTTTCCATTTCTCCGTCCTCTTTCTGGCCATTCTGCGCCACCTCTTGTTCTCAACCACTCTTTCTTAGTGGCACCGCAACAACAACAAAGATGAGGTTCGCAGTCAATCAAAGAACAGATCAATTATAGAATAGAATAGAAGTGTCGGCATTGAATAAATAGGCCCATGGTCTGTTGCCGATTCTTGAATGTTTCGTGACTTGATAGATGATTCGCAAGGGATCCGGCCTTTGCAACCCGATCTTTCCATAACTGACGATTGATTGAGATAGCTGCTGGACTTATTGCCTGGTCCGTAATTTGCTAGGCATTTTAAGACTGAACATATGCTCCTGCATAGCTTCGTCTGGACTTATTGCCTGGTCCGTAATTTGCTAGGCATTTTAAGACTGAACATATGCTCCTGCATAGCTTCGCCTAGTCTGTTTTGAAGGCGTTCATACTCGGAGCGTCAACGATGCTATCAGGGAGGCTGTTCCACATGTCGGTGACTCGAAGCGAGATGAAATGTTGTCGCATGGATGTGTTACAACGCATTTTTTTAGTTTATAGCCGTGGCCCCTGGTGTTGGTTCTTGTTTCAAATTCTAGTAATCCTTCTGGGACCTTGTATAATCCATGAGTATACTTGTATGCCTCAATGAGTTCCTCACGCAGACGTCGATAAATGAGGCTTGGAAGCTTCATAATCTTTAAATCTTTCCTCATATGACTTGCCTCTCAAGCCCGGAATTATCCCTGTCTCACGTCTTTGAACACTCTCTATTAAATTTTTGTCCTTTTCAAGTTTCGGTGACCACACGACGTTTCCAAACTCTAGGTTCGGGCGCACGACAGCAACAAACAACTGCTTCATCGCTTCTGCATCTAGGAACTCGAAAGAGCGTCTGATCAGTCCAAGTCGTTTATTGGCTTTATTAACTTGATCTTCAATATGCTTAGAAAATTTCACCTCATTGTCGATATTAACTCCTAAATCTTTTTCCATTGTCGACTTCGACATCATCACTCTGTCGTTGCAACCGTGTCTTCTCATACTGTAATCTTGCTGTTCATTATTCTTGCCAAGGTGGATTACTTTACATTTGTCAGCGTTAAAACGTAGCTGCCACTTATCAGCCCAGTCAACCAGCCTGTCAAGATCACCTTGTAACTGTACTTTTTGCGACGTATTCTTCACTGTATTATAAATTTTTGTATCGTCAGCATACATCGAGCACACACTAGACACAGCTTCTGGCAGATCGTTTATAAACGCAACGAATAAAACAGGCCCGAGAACGCTTCCCTGTGGCACGCCGCTGCGCACTGGAGCCCAGTCTGATACGGATCCATTAATACTGACACGTTTGCGTCTCCCTACTAGAAAATCTCTGATCCATTTGAGTACATTACTGTCAATTCCCAAAGACTGCAATTTCCCAATTCCCAATTATGCAAAAGCGTAGCGATTCAACAAGCGTAGTACAACAAGTTATCGTCCTGCCCAAACCAGGTCTCGCAAAGACATATAGGTATTAATTTATTCGCTTATTAATTTAACATAAATGAATACATGATCATAATTTCCAAATGAAGGATAATTAAAAAGGTAAAATGGATTTAAATGTGCAACTAAACTAATAAATAGCGATAACGAAAACTTAGAAAAGTGTAATCGCCCCTTACAAGAAAGAGGAGCAATTATCTACCCTTATTGATTTTGTATTTTTATTTATTTTTTCATTGATATTTTTTTTTGCTGCGAAAACCAGTATCGTTTTTGTTTGAAAATATATTTTCACCTCTGTAATTCGAGAACATAACAAGGGAAATTATGACAGTTATTTGCCAGAGAAATTTGTAACTTCAAGCATCAACTTCAACTTATTTTCATATAAAGACGATTACATTTTCCCCACCCCTCAGAGCGCCGAACGCTTGCTTGGCTGGGACGGAGTGCAGTACTCGTTGGAAAAAGCAGCGCAGAGAGGCGGCTGGATAATCGTACTAGTAAGTGAATTATATAATCAAAGCCCTTTGTCGGTCACACGAATATTATGATGCAAATTATTATTTAATTTGTCTTAATGCCATTGTTGTTATTCGAGGTAGTATAATTAAACATACATAAAGAGAGAAGCACGTGAAACGCGTACAATAAATTTGTTAACTGCTGAGCTATATCTGTTCACCAAGCCTAGAATAGACGTAGCTTCAAAATTAAAAATATCCTATTCACAGATTCGACCTATTAGGATTTTGCATTTCAATTGATATATGTGATATTTCATGATGCATTTTATTGTACAACATTCTTAAGTTTAGCTTGACAGGCTGGAATTTTTTAAAATGCTTGCTAAGCTATTGAAAATGCAACTTTAGTTTTAGTTAGTTAGTTTTATATAATATTGATAAATTTTTGCATCGCAACTTGCAGTTCATTTGCCCTTAAGGAAGTGCTTCGTAAAAAAAAGTAAATAAAATGAACTCGATAAATACCTTGCTTATTACAGTGACGGCGAGATTTCTATTAGCACTTCTTCGTGTAGTAGCTTTTGCGCATTTATAATTTCTATGTAATATGACCTATTTCTAAATTATCTGTGATATGGAATATGAAAAGAAGACGTTACGTAGTAGCCTGTGGAAAGTTCCGTTGCAAAATGACCAAGAAATTTACGTTCACTTTCTAGAATCCCTGTTCATCTCTACTGCCGGTAATCATCCATTCACTGTCTGAAGTCACCAGCCGGGCAAATAAAGTCGATGAGAATTTTCGAGCCGTCCTTGTGGAGGACCGTAACTGTGACAGAGCAATACCGGGAGAACATTTCGATGTTGTGACAGACAGCTCACTAAGTTCGCATACTTTATTACCTGCGGACCTGAGTCTGCAGTGTCGTGTGTTGTTCTCTGCACCTGAGCTCACCATCGCCGGAGTGTTGAGTTCTGTTGCCGACGTCATCAATTCATCACACTACGAGTCACACTGTACGTAAATTGCTCTATTTTTAAGAGGAAGCAATTTAACTTTGTGCTATACCTATGAGGCAAAATAATTTCCCGTGCATTGCGATTATAAAAGAAGCAAATGCAAAGTGTAAATTTGCATTACAGAATATTAAAATGCCATTTCCAATAAAGAAATATAGTAAAATTAACACGTAAGAATTGTAAGATTTTAATTGTTTGGCTCTGCACGGAAGACCAAGGCGGGTGCTGGCGTCAGGCCGTTTGGCTTGCAGGGGCGGTGTACGTTGCTCTTGTTATCCCGGCGAGTATGCGGGAACACAACAGAGAGCGTGGCAGCCAGTCACAGATATTAGACGAAGACAATTTGGATCAAGAGAAAGATGGACTACAAGACATGATCACGCTGGCCGATCTCAGTATGACTTACGATATCATGTACAGATTGTCGCTGCTTTCTCCTCTCACTCCAGGCACACTTTTCGGCGTTTTAGGTATTTAATGTCTATAATTAATTATAATATAATATAATACAATTAATATAATATGGGTTTTCTAAGAGATTGAAAATCTATCCATTGCAGGCCTATGAGTTCAACAAGAAAAAGAGTAGCAGAGAAAATTAGCATTGAAATATACTACTAATTTGTAATCAAAATATTTACTTGATCATCGAATCAAAAAGTTATATATCATATTTCGGTGCTGGTACTGTCTGAAAATTTCGCTTATGTCAAGCAGGGTGGATATTTGGACGTGAAAATTATTGGCTCCCTTTGTTGGCAAAAGCTTCGTCGACAGATAAAAAATCGTCAGCAAAAAATTTAACAAATCGTAAAAGCGCTCCGCTGCACGAACCTGACGAGACTCTGGAAGACGAGGAAAAGGAAGGGAGAGAAGACTTGGAGCCTGATGATTATTGTGATGATGAAGACTTGAAATTAGAAGACTGGTGTGTTCCTGATGAGTTAAAGGTTGTGGGGTTAAGCGATGCACCTAAGATCATGGCACAGTTTTTGTGTGCGAAGCTACCAGATCTGCACGCTCGTTGTCAGGTGAGAACCCGTGAAAACAATTGAAAAAATACATCGAGTACATTCGTACAGTGGGCAATTATTGGTCATAAAATTTACATTTTGCAATTTACAGTTTAAAAATCTGTTTTAGTTTACATTTTGCAATATACAGTTTAAAGATATATTTTCATTTATATTTTTTGCAAGGTTCTTTTAGAATTTCACGAATGTAATCAATGTTAATTTCATTAACGGAAATTCCGGGCTTGAAACATCTTTTCACTGAACAATACCTTCTGTGTCAAAGCAGACACACAGGCTGTAATGTAAAATACAAGCAAAATCCATCAATAATCTTTCCAGTACTTGATATATGAGATGAGGATGTACGAGACTCGCACGACTGTTAATGTTTAAGATCTTCTTATTACATACAAAGAATTTTGTTGGCATTTTCATTGAGGATGAGTCCCTATAATCTTTTTTTTTTCATCCTTCGTTCTGTGCATCAGAATCGCGCCCGTTCAAGCGTTTAGATAACAATGCTCACGAAGAAAAAATAGTTGTGGGTTAAAGCTTCACTAAAATTTAACTTGAGCTTTTTTCTAAATGCGCCCACATCTACAAAATTCAAATTTTTCAAATGTTAGAATGTGATCACGATTGCGATTTACGTCCCTGAACTTGTAGGGAACACGATAAAGGTTTATAATTAATTTATTTCGTTGTTTTTGATAATTTTTTCGATTACTGAATGCATATTTAATTAATTATTCTTGTGCATTAGCCACAGTTTATTATTGTAAAAATAATGCTTCATATTATTTGGGTTTACTCCATTGCAGGAGGTCCAGAGCAAAATGTTCCACGAAACATTCAGCTCGCTCAGCCGGCAACATTTGGAGTCGCTCGAAACAAGCTTAATGTTCATCTGAGAAAGAAACGAAGGGTAGGAATTTTCGCAAAAAACGTCTTCAGCACTATACAAGTTTGCAGGCTCAGTGTAAAAAAAAATAGTATTAGCAATTAGTTAGTACAACAACAAAATAAAAACATCCGTCTCGTTTGGTGATATCATTTTATTAACCATACCATTTCATAGAAAATGACGTTTCAATCAGTCAAAGGTTGTTTGTCAGTTATTTAGAAACTTCGGCGTTAGTTGTAATGTAACCTTGCCTTTGTACCAAAAACATTGTCATTGTCTATGTATACCTAATTCAATTCAACATTTTGCAAGTGCCTCAAGCGCATACAAGACGAGTTTCATCGTCAATCATTGAAGCTCCTGTATTAGAAACACAATAACGACTTTTCTGATAATTTGAATTAAGTACCGTTGATGTCAAACTTATAGAAAGTGTTCGCGAAGTTCAAGTGATTCCAACACTACGAAGCAGAAACTATTAAGACTTTAAAAGGATTCCACCCCTTTAGAGAGGGCGGAGTTCCGCAAGAAATGGCAGGAGCGAAACAGACGCAGAAACGCGGAAAATCATGTCAACACCATT